CTTGTAATTAGTGCTTCTTTCCTTTGGGTGGTGGAGAAGTCCACAACAATAGTTTCCGCTTTTGTCCGATAGATATCTCGTATTTCTGAGTCTTGAATGGGAGACGGCAAACGGATAGCTTCGCCTATGTCCTTCACTATCCGGGTAGTCGTTTTTGTTCTTGCTGGCATTTGAGCTCATCAAATAATACTTTAATATCCGAGTTCAACTGCGGTGATAATTCCGGCTGGGAAAACTGGGTAAGGGACCGTTTTTGTCGCTTTTTTACATTGGTGGTATTAGATTCTGCGCGATCTTTATCCATCTCGTTAATTGCAGTATCCGATCCATAATACAGAACCGATCCAATTTTTGATTTGATTGCATTTTCGGCGGAGAGTGCCGAACCGGATTCATTTTAGTTATGTAGGTACGTAACTCAAAAATAGGCGGGACACCACAACAAATAGCCAAAATTACAAGAGCCTCACCTTTACACTGGACATTGCTTTAGGCGAACTTCGGTCACGCTTTTGGCTGATTCAGGAGCCAACCTCACAACATTAAAACGTCATGGCGGCTGGCAGTCAAACACGGTCGCGGAAGGATATATTGAAGATTCGATCGAAAATAAGTCTAAAACCTGTAAACGCATAATACAAAGCAAAAATTTAAACCTGATCCTTATGCACACCCGCGCCCCTCTACTTCCAAAGACACAAATATCATTGAAAATTCGGTAAGAAGCCGCTACGAGTCGCCAACGTTTACTAATAGTATTGTCTCGTCTCAGTCCAATAAAGAAATAGAAACGAACTCGAGTCAAACTCAAATCGCAAACTCCACGGTATCACTTCCTAATAAAACTATAAATTTTCATAATATAACTTTTAATAACTGCAATTTTAAATTTTCAGTTTCAGTTTCATTTTTATTCATATTGTATCTTTTTATCTCTAATAATGTTCTCGCTGCTAAGGTGAAAAGTTGTATGTGTCACGCGAGAGAAAAGTTATTTCCATCTCGTACCTTAGAATCCCTCGCGACGCTCAGGATTCTAATGTAGAATCACTCGCTAACGCTCGTGATTCAATTATTAGAATTCTTCGCTTACTCGGGATTCAAAATTAACACTCGCTTGGAAAACCAACTTTCCTCTCTAGTTGAAAAAATAACTATTAATACCTCTACGCGTTCATGAGAAATGAGGTATAGTAACTTTAAAATTTTCATTTTTTTTTATATAATATGATGTAACTAAAACTGTACGGTTTTCGCAATTTTCCCTTTATCTGTACTATAAGACGATACTTTGTACCAAATTTCAAGATTCTAAGTTCACGGGAAGTACCCTGTAGGTTTTGATTCCCGTGCGAGTTTAGAAAATTTGCGGAAATTTGCGGCATACACGGCTGTATCTTTTGATTGCTTAAGCTTAGAAGTTTGATGTTTTCACAGCTCGAAGGGACAGTAAACATGAGTATTAGATATGAATTTCAGATTGATACCTCCACGCGTTGCTGAGAAAAACGGTCTTAACAGACGGACTCACGGACAACAAAGTGATCCTATAAGGGTTCCGCTCATTCAACCCTAAAAAAGAGATAAATGTAAATTTACTTCCTTTTAATATTTAAACGATAGGTGTGGATATTATCACGTATATGTCATTAATAAAATTTGTCATTCAAGCAACAGGATCAACACAATCAGAAATTATACCTATGTAAGTAAAATATAACTTGCCATATTGCAGTAATATAATAAATAAAAAATGTTTCGAAGAACATACCTAATCATAAATAAGTCTGAAATTTATGAATATTATAGTATTACTAGCGGCCCGTCCCGGCTTCACACGGGTGTATTAAATACTATGTAAATATAATGAATCAGCATTTATATCTAGAATACAAAGAAAAATTAACAACAAATAAACAAAAGGAAACAGTGGAAGAGCTTTACACTATATAACGAAAAAACAATTTTACAAAAGCTTTATGATTTTAGAAAACACAAACAAATTTGAAGGACGTAAATTCAATGAAAGAAAATTCAGTTCCACACGCATCGCTTAGGGAACCTCGGTTTTCATTCTACGGCATTCAATTTTCATTTTTTTTAAATTTTCGAATACTGCTTACGTCACGTTCTATTGTGTCTTGCGCTTGTTCTTTTTTTAATATTGTATTGGTTCTGATATGAGAAAGTCTGGAGCCACTTTTTTTTTATAATTATTTATATAGGTATGGAGCATTACAATGTCTCCATCCGTATATTGAATATGTATAGAAATACCTACTATATAGCTGTCCCAGCGAACTTCGTACCGCCATAAAAAATAGGGGTTGGTGGTAGAAGGGTGAAAATTTAGGGTTGTATGTATTTTTGTATGATGATGGTCCAAAAAAAATGTTTAAGTGTGGACCACCCTTAACATTTAGGGGGATGAAAAATAGATGTTGTCCGATTCTCAGACCTACTGAATATGCATATAAAATTTTACGAAAATCGGCCGAGCCGTTTCGGCTAATAGTTATAACTGTCTTTATCAGTTATTAATAAAATGTGAAATAGTACATTACGATACGCGTGACCTAAGTTGCCTATTACTGCACGGCGTGAAGTTAGCGCCCGAGCGGAGCGAGGGTGCTAAACGCCGTGCAGTAATAGACAACTTAGGCCACAAGTATCGTATACTATTTTATAGCAAGTGAGACATAAACCCGCCCCGGACGCGGGCAAGAGGGGGGGTTCGGGGGGCCGGTTTTGCCATTTGCCTACGGAATTCTTAAAATACGAAAACAAATAAAATGTAAAGTAGGAAACCTGATCTTTTTTGATGATTTTGTTTGAACTAGGTATCGTTAAATCTTGTGAGTGTCTTTGTGGGAGAGTCCAACTTATACCTTATTTGACCTCTTTTTAGGGTTCAGCACCTTCTCTTACAGGATAATTATGTTATCCATCTATCCGTCAGTCTGTCAAGATCCTTTATCTCGGAAACGCATGGAGGTATCGAGTTGAAATTTAAACTATGTATATACTCAGTCCTTTGAAATATGAAAAAATCAAACTTATTATATATTATACTAGATATTAAGACTAATCAAACATAAGAGACAGGCCGTTTATGTCAATAAATGTGTATGGAATCCTCGGTGGGCAAGTCCGACTCGCACTTATCCGGTTTTTTCAAATTGACCCGGCCGGTGATAGTACTTGGTAACTCAGAGATAGCGACATCATTAAACTTTAAACTTTCGTGTTATTGTGAACAATAACTAGGAAGGAGGAGGAGATCGTTTATATAACAATTTAGTTTATTTTGTAAGCGGCAACAAATTTATATGCATAATTGAAATTTAAACGATAAGCTCTATAGATAGGATACTGTGAAATGAAAACATACCTGAAGCGAGTTGAATATTTCATGATAAATTTTCTTTAGAAACTCTAAGATAAGGCCTGTTTGTATAATAAATTGCTTTATCGTAATAAAAGCCGCGGATTCACTTTGAAGATTCAGTGAGAGTAATAAAATTTTCACCTACTCATTAATATTGCCAGGTTGTATTTTGATATGAGATCGTTTACAATACCAACCAAATCAAAATAAAAGTAAAAGTAAGCCTTTCATAAATAAAAGATTCTTAAAAAAAACTTTGGTTTAGGTTTAGGTTTTTCTTCGTTTTACCTTAAGTTAATAAACATTAACCGTAGATTATTTTTGATACTGTTTACATTTTGTTTTCAAAAGATAATGATGATACTTACGATTATCTACTATACAAAGTCTGATACATCAACAGTCGCTTAATTGTTGAATTTCAGATATTTTCCTCAACTTCGAATATCATATTCGAAAACAAAAACAAAATTGTTTTCGTAGATTAATACATTTATTTAGTATCTTTACAATTTCAACGATAGCAGTTTCAATTAGATCACTATGCGCGAGTTGCACCAACTTACCTTTAACTGTTCAATTTTAATTGAACTATTTTTGTACCTAACAGGTACAAAAATAGGTTGCACCATTTGTCGATAGTCAAAATTAGGTAATAATTTGACTGTGACAATCAACCAAGCAAGGCCACTTTAAATTACAGTAAAATATAACTTTAACTAGCTCTGTGGTGCAACTTCCACTGAGTGGACAGGTCGCTTAATGGCAGTTTAACTTACAACAACTCGATTGCGCCTACATAATAGTTTTATGCCTGAAACTCTTAACATAATAGAGAGAAAAAAATAGATAGACCAGAGCGAATTATCCACGTAAACCAGCTCCTTGGATTTTTTATACTTATTTAATTTATTACTTTTTGTAATTAGAGGGCATTTTTATACACAACGTTGTAACAAAGGTTAAGTCATAAATAACTATCTGAAGTGTTAAAATAAACTCTAATCATATTTTACTACATCTAAGACGTATATTAATGATTTTATCTACACCCATGCTTTAAAACTTCTATCAAAGATTCTGAAACAGGTTATTGCCAACATTAAAACATCCAATGACATAATTAAAAAAACCATTATAACCCCCAAACGGTTGTTATAATGTTGTACTTAATTTCATAATAACACTCCTTAGCTTTTTTAAATCCTTCCGCGCTAACGACTTAATGGATATTAAGAGGATATTAAAACACTCTTGTGATACTATTATCACACTCATTATACAACAGTTGCATAATTAACAAATTGTACACGTATCTAATAACTAGCACTATCGACATTGTTTACTCACATCTTATTTTTAACACGCTTAAGCTCATGAGATCACAATCTTCTCGCACTTTACACTTCACAAATATTAAAATATATAAACTATTTTATTTTTTCACTAACAGTTTTCTGTTTAGTCTCATAAATTAATCGTACAAGTCTTTCTTTGATATAGTAGAGATTGTGTAAAACCCACTGCTATCTGTGACCTCGTCCGTGCTCTCCGTTAATCAGGAAATATCCGTGTTCTCGACTTTGTAAAGCACACGGCGGCGTCGTAAATTTCATGAGTCCCCGTTTGGCGCCATCGTGACAGTGCTGCAGTTGGCACGAGTAGACCGCGTCGAGCTCCTCCGTAACCCGACTCCGACCGAGTTGAGAACGATCATGTTCTCGCTTTTCCTTTTCCCGTGAAAGTTGCAGAAGAGCAGCTCCCTCATGCCTTTCCGGAAATTCTTTGAAAGGAAAGCGTACAAGAGCGGGTTAATGCCTGAGTTGAAGTATGTGATCAGGAAAGTAAGAGGCGTGAGTAAAGTGCTGAAGTCGCTGGTGCCCTCGTAACCGCTGGACCAGTACTGCCACATCTTGCGCGCGTGGAACGGCAGGTTGCAGATGGCGAAGGTCAGCACGACGACGATCAACATACGCACGACCCCGCGTCGCGCTCGTAAGACGTTACGCGACAAATGGCTCAGGTGGTGGCAGTCACGAGACTCCAATCGGCCATTCTTCGTTGTATTGTTGTTTTTCATACTGCGCATCAACATTTTCTGTAAGAGAAATGTTTAGTTAAGAATAGTTCTTTTAAAGTTCGTTAGTATTAGACTACACCTTTTAGACCTATTTACACTTAAGTACTTAAATCAAATTTATATTGCTAATCATGTTTAGGACTCATCTATCTCTATTTGATTTAAAAAAATGTCACAAATTTAATAACGAGTTTAAAAGGATTAAGTCTTGATTAGAATGAAGGATGTTGGTGGAAATGGCCTTTAATTATTTTAACTGATGTTATTATATCAATCGATGTCGCTCGATATCGATTTAGGGTATTATCTATTACATTATTTGAGTATTTGTTTCTTTTTCTAAAATAAAGCATTAATATAGATATGTAAATAACACCACTATCACATATTTTATAAAGGGAATGAGACTGATGTTTTTCAGTGTATTTTCATAGATCACACCCGTCACAATACGTCATACATGTAAAGCATTTGTTGGTGTTGTTTAGCATACAAAATTCAAACCGGAAATAAGCAAAATTTATTTCTCTTCATTTGAATGGCGTAGTCGTTTAACGAATAGGGGATTTTATGTTTGGGTACCGAAGGGTAAATTGAATCAGATGTGGGAACCGATCACCCGCCTTGTAAAACCCGCGCATTTCAGCAACGCGGTGGCTTAGGAGTAAAACATTTTGGGAACAACAACAGAAAAAATGTGCAGCCTTTATCAAAGGATTAAAAAGCGATCCACGGGAAAATGCTTATTTATGATTTTATGCAAGGTAAATAAAAACATAGGAAAACATTGTTTGAGAGTCATGACGGAAAATGTGGTAAAATAAATAATTGAAAATAATTTGTTTTGTGAAATATGAAGTTCACATTTTTGTTTTAGTCAGTGATAGGAGGAGACCCTATCCCCACGGTTATGTTAAAACACACAGTGCTGATAGTAAGTATGTAACGGAATTTCACGGCTAAGTAGGATTTACTAGTGTAGGAAAATTAATTTATTAATTATTCCTAACAAAGGGATAAATAAGTAAGTGTCTGATATGGAATCGAGGTAGCCAATGCATAGTGATTCACATCCAGAGTACATCAAATCGTAAAACAAACAAGACATGAACTAGATTTTTAATTAAAACAAAGTTAATGCGCAGCATGACATGAACTAAGTTATAATTAAAACAAAGTTAAGCCAGTTTTGCAGTGTATTACTGCAAAACTGGCTTATTCTTATTTTTCTATTGCCAGCAAGTTTTTTGTTTAAATTGCGATTTAAATATTTAATAGGTTTTGTAAATTCAATGATAATTTATATTAATACAAAAAAATCAAAGAAAAACCATCCTGATCTTGAGAGCTGGTCAGGGGAAATAAAGGTTACGAGTAGATTGGAAATTATCTGAAGGTTAAAGAGGTAAAAGCCGTTTCTATTATTGCAGTCGCTTAACCGGGCGCCCCATTTATTGATTGACGTATAGAAGCAATTTAAAAAGTTTTAATGGTAAACATTTTGCATTAGAAAATAAAAGCCAAAATCAAATGATTCCACTCTAAAGAGGAACGTTGTATGGGTGAATATTTCCTACGAATAAATGCCAACCTTATTTTTAATGACTATTCACGTTATCAATGCCTTTATTTGTAACGTTTACGAAATAAGTATTTTGTTGAATAAAACTAGAACATTCTCTCATACCAAATTTTTGAATAGAAAAATCTCTTAAATTCTGCATCAAAGTCGAATGATAACTGTTATTTATTTGATAATGTTTAAATTACCTACGTGCAATTTTAGATACTACTTTTTATATTGTCTTTAAAGACAAGATAAATTTGGCTTTGTCAGTGATAGTTTTAAAAAACATTACATAGCAACAAACAATGTAACACTGAACGACTTTAAAATACGCTCAATTTCAGAAGACAATATGAAACCTTAGATTAAAACAAAAAGGGTAGATACGGCACTAGCCTCACAAAAGTGATCCGCATAAATTGTGGCCCAAGGCCACAATCGTTTTAGTCACAACTTGACATGCAAATGACGTACATGTGAACGTCAAAAAGAAATATTGCTAAAATTTTGTGATTTTAAGATAAAACAATGCCTAAGTGTTGTTTTAAAAAGTGCTCAAATTGCTCAAGTACTAAAAATAAAACCGACGGCATCACTTTTCATTCGTAAGTACTATAAAATATATTTTTTCATAAAAATGCTGTTTGTTTTGAATCTTATTCGGTATTTGTTATTAAGAAAAAGACAACAACACTTGTAAACGTTTGTATGAGGGAGAAAAAGCATAAGCGCGAATATTTGCCATTGTAATGTCAGTCGAGAGTAAAAATTGGGTAGAGTCAACAAAAAAAATATTTCGTAATTTTTTTTTGGAATATTAATTTATGTAGGTAAAAAAGATGCTGCATTTATTAAACTCATTACATTTTGGTTTCTTCGAAGAGGTTTATTTATTTTTTCAGACATTTTAGCTTTAATATACTCTGTACTTACAGAAATGGCGTTTTCATTCTTTGTAGGGCTTAAAATTGTTTTTGTAATCTTCTTCTTCTTCCAGTGCCTCTTCAATCCTGAAGGTTGACCGTTAGCTTCCTGTATGTAGTTCTATCAGCAGCCAGCCGGAATAACTGTTCGACGGAGGCAATACCGGTCCACTCCCGGATATTCCGGAGCCATGACTTTTTTCTTCGCCCAGCACGTCTCTTTCCGTCCACTTAGCCTATCATTATCAACTGCAGCAGCATGTATCTATCGTTCCTGAGCACGTGGCCAAAATATTTTATCTTGCGCTTTTTGATAGATGAATTTAATTAGATTGATTTTAAAAGGGAAACAAATTGTCTTTATTTGAAGGAAAATGATTTCAAATTTTATGTATAAGTGCTTTAAATTAAATAATTTGTTCCTTTTTTGGTGTGTAAATACTATTGTACCATGAGCATTGGCATAACTAATTAGCATAATCTTTTTTATAAGTATATTTGTAGTGCATATATTTTTGTAAATATACTGCTGAACCGACGAAATTCGTACCGCTAACAGTCCATGAATATAATTATCTTTAAATTTTTAGCTTCATTGAATTAACGATTTTACAACCGAAATAAAACAAATACAAAAGAAAATCAATCAGTTTGGTATTTAATGTAATAGATGTAGAGAAAATTATTGAACAATGTGTACTTCAACAGTGTATTAAAATCGGGGATAATTGATTGCCAGGTTTTTGGCACAATATTCTTTATACACAGTCATCCCTTAACCTGTCAGTACCTTAAGACTTCTTTCGATTTAGAATGGTTCTATGTTTTGGAAACTAATACCAAAAGGATAGAGCGCGTGAAAGTTTGGGAGAGAAGGCTTGTAAAGTCACTTCTAAGTAAAAATTGTACCAAGACGTGACGTCATGGGAAATTTCATATCAACATATCTCTGTAATGTTTTAATTATGTGAATAAGAAATAAATACTTGTCCAATACTTTTATTAATCTACCTGGCCGACGAAGAAAAAAAGGTTTTGTCATCAACCCTATTGCCACACAGTAGGTAGGTACCTAGTAAGATTCTTACTTCTGTTATAAAGCCCAAGGCATAACTTATGTTTATTTTTATTTATCGATGATGATTATTGTTTTTGTTATTTAATTTTACCTTTAAATTTTTTTTATTATTTAAATGAATAATTTAAAGTATAGTTTAGATTAGATTTATAAAACAAGCAATTCATGCTTAGAAGAGAAATATAATAAGTGTTTCGGATTAGATTCTTTTAAATACTGTAGACGATGAAAATTTCCAAATCCAGCAGTACAAGGTATCTTAAAAAATTGTTGACGGTATCGTATAAAAGACCTACTTTTAGTAGGTACGCTTGTTAACTGATTTTTTATCAGGTGATATAATAATGTGTGTCAAATCAAATCAGTTTATGATTTGTATTGAAATATAATAAGTGTAAAGTTTCTAGTAAAAATTGTATCTCGATTAGATTCTTTTAAACACTGAATACAATAAAAATGACCACATCCAGCAGTATAAGATTCCTTAAAAAAATGTTGACGTTATCATGTAAAAAAACTACTTTTAGTAGGTATACTTGTAAACAGTTTCATTCCCTCAGCTTTTCAAAGATGTTTGAAAATTGCTCAATGTGGAATTTTTGAAGTTATACTTCTTTAGGCGCGTTATGAAATAATGATGAGAGTGAAATTTTAAGATGCGCGCGCATCACTGTAACCCAAAATGTTAACAGCATGAAGTTGGTCGCTTTAGCGACCAACTTCATGCGTTACTTTTGTGTTTACCGCACATTAAGAAAATCTACCAACAAAATAGAAATAGAATCTCTATTTAGTGGGTGCTAACGACTGCATTGTGAAGGCCTATCAAAAGTATTTATTAATCTGGAACAACGGAACCAAAGCGCGATTCAGGAGACTACAGCGCCATCTCTTGACCATTGGTGTAGTAGAACCAAAAACCACATCTTTATTTTTTGTAATAAAGTAACAGTTATAGGTATTCATATTTATAATATCAAAAGTATTTATTAATCTGGAACAACGGAACCAAAGCGCGATTCAGGAGACTACAGCGCCATCTCTTGACCATTGGTGTAATAAAGTAACAGTTATAGGTATTCATATTTATAATATTTATCCACATGTTTCTAGTTTGTATATTCGGAATACGTGTTTGAGTTTCATACAAGTGCAAATCACATATGTTCTAATAAATTATATTCAGTAGCGATTTTAATTGAATATTTTGATTATTTATTTATTTTTTCAGATCAAAACTGAACTTTATTGACTGTGTCCTTTTCCAGACTTTTTATTAATTTATTGTAATTAATTATTTGCATGCAATTAAAAACTAATTTTAAACGATGCCAAAGAAGGATAACTTCTCACGCGCCTACATAAGTACACGCACCCATTTTTTTTATTGAATTTTAATAAAAAACTTATATTTAATAAAAAATACTTTTATTTTTTTCTCTGACGC